CATATTTTTCTCTCACAAAGGGTCCTCATGCTTTGTATGGTCAGCTAAACTCAGAAGGGCAATCTTCTGTATTTTGTTTGACGCAAAGCACAGCAGTCTGCTCAAAGAAGTTAGATAGTCTTTCTTGCTGCCTGGGCACCCTTTTTTTAAGACGGCATAACTTGTGATTTATTAATGATGCATAAAGAAAATGTGTCTGATTTGAAACTGTGGCTTAAAAGATTTGGAGCTGAAAAAAGAAGGGAAAATCTGAGAAGTCTGCTGGAAACTGGCCTGTTGAGGTTTTGTCTGAAAACACTTAAGTATTTTTATTAACAAAGAGAAATTTTTCATTTAGAGTTGTCTTTCTCTGGTGTCCTGTGTTTTGTAACTTGCTCAGCAAACCCTTCTCTTTATTTGTTGTGAAAGTCCATGTTCATGTCATAACCAGCTAGCTGTAAAAAAGCACACAGATATGCAGCAGTGTACCTAGTTGCAAAGGTGTGCAATTAGGGATGTTGATGCTCTGCACTATCCCCACTGAATATGGAGTAGAACCAAAACAAGGCTTTTAGCAATGTTGTCTATTTACTTATATATCATTCATTGTTTCTAGTAGCAAATAGAGCTTGACCCATACATCCAAGAATCACTTCTACCATGACAAGTATGACATTTATTCACAGCCATATTTTAGAGCAAACCCAAATATGGGACAGTTTTGACATAGAAGCAAGCTGTGGTCAGGCATTGAAATTTCAAATATCCTCAGTGTATTCTCTGGAGGTTATTGCTCTGAGTTATTGAATCTTGGGAGGAGTTATTTCTTGTTGCTTCCAAGTGATGTGTCTTTTGAATCTGTCCTTGTCCCCTTCACCCCTAGAAGGATGAAGATGCCTTTCAGTCTATTAAAGATAAAATACAGAGCAAAAGAGAATTAGAAGAGCGATCTTCGATCACTTGCCTTTTAAGAAGGTGACTCGAATACCTGTTTTGTGCGTTTGTCACTTCAAGAAACTTCTGAAATGTTCTATCAACCAAAAATATGCAAAGCCTAAATGCGTTTTATTTGTGTATATTTACAGCTCTCTTGTGCCCTCTACTTTGAATCAAACACAGTCATTAGATAGCTCCAAAAAGTGGAACTTGACAGTTTTCTCTGGGTGACAGTTACAGTCAATAGTAATGTAAAAGTAAGCTGATTATCATGTAACTGATAGCTGTTCAGAAAGCCTGTGGAGAGTCTGACTAAACTTCCAAATTTGATTAAAAAACCCCAAACATTGATTATTCCTTCCTCGTGTTAGCTCAAATTCATTTTTGTTTGTGTGGTATTCAACATGGGAAATTAACTATTTCAAATTAAAACTTAAGTTCTTCAAGAAAACCACATTCAATTTATACTTCAGAATTATTACAATACACCCAGCACATTTTGAGTTGAAGGCTGGTCTTAATTTGACTGTAATAACCTTTGTCCCAAAATGCTTTTTTTTTTTTCTTTTTTTGTAATAAAAGGTGTGGAAAACACATTTTTGAAGCATGAATGCTCAAAGTTGGAAGCAAATTTTTAATTATATGCACACTATAAAAGTTTACAAGTAGGGCTCTGGTGGCTAGTTTTGCAAATCACCTTCCTCTTAAATTGGTTAGAATCTTGAGGCTTACAGCTCAATCTAAAAATGTTAGGTGAAAGTCAGACGTATACTTTGATCTGTGTTGAAGTAGTTAACATGCAAGTCGAGTGATAAATTCATTACTCCTGTATGAATAAGCTGGGTGACTGAGTAACACAGCATGAATTTCAAACTGTGTTTTACAAATGCCTTTGAATAATTTGGACATGATTGTGTGCTAGACAATTTAATTTTTTGGAAAAGTTAATATTACTTTATTATACTCTTTAGAACCTCCCATAAAGAAAGGCAAGCTATGATGTGAAATGCGGCATCAGAGAAGATGCCATACTTGAAAATTGACTTTTGTGCCTCTAATGAATCTGTCTTACTAACCTTGGAAGTCAGGGATGATAGCAAGCTGTGAGTTTGTTATGAGAAAATACACGCATGAGATTAATCTTCTGACTTACTATAGGAAATGCATCATGAGAGTGTGACAGCAAGTTGCAAAGTTAGTTGGAGTTCACACATAGCCAAGACAAGTTTGGAAATGCAAGGATTTGAGACATTTTCATCCCCCTCCCCCTCCCCCCCCCCCCCCGCAGTTCATCACACTGAAGGATTGAAACAGGAGTAAAACTTTTGAGTCATAAAATAGCAAAGCACAATGCACACAGATACCTGATGTGTTCAAGTCTAGCATTTATAGCTCATTGGGAAAGGATGGGTAACCTGTACAGCCCCATATTTTGTCCTATATAATAGAATAGGAAATTATGCTTTTTCTCTTTTTTCAAACAGAAGTTCCTCTTCCTTTGCTCTTGGCAGTCTGGTGTTTGGAAAGGATGTGACATAGCGTGCTTCAAGGAGCCCTGCATCACTTCGTCCCAGCTTGCTAATGTTCTGCAAACAGACCTGTCTGCTGACTCTCGTCCAAGTCCTGAGTCTGCTAGCATGTGGGCCTGTGACTGTTAAGAGCTCGAAACAACTATGTTATGAGAAAAGGGCAAGAGTGTTCAGTTTAGAGTGGAGAGGCCTGAAGAATGGCCATGTAGCTGGAGCTCAAAAACCACAAGGACAGTGGTGATTGTTGAACTGCTATTAACCAAGTCCTACAGCACTACAACCAGGGGCCACTTGAGGAAACTATTGGATCGATTTGGTATGGCTTAGAGAAAGTACTACCCTCGTCCAGCAGTGAGCTTTGGGAACTTCAGGTGATCCAAGGATAAGGAGGCAGGTTGTACCAGCAAGCTGGGGAAGGGGGAGTGGAAATTGGGATAGATAAGTTGCTTGCAGTAGATTCCTAAACTGATGGGAATAAACAGGGGGGGTACACTCTAACAAGCCCCGCTTAAGAAACAAAAAAAACCAAAGCGTACTCTGGGTGCTAGGAAGGTGTGGAGGGGATAGACAACAGTAGGCAGGCTTGCTGCTTTCAGTCAATAGCATCTGCTGGTGCTGCTGCTGAAGAGCAAATACTGGGTATGATGGACCATTGATCTGATCCAGCAGGGCATTTCTAATGTTCTCTACCTTACGTCTCCAAATTATTCCAATAAACAGGTGTATGCTAATGAATGCTTGTCCTTTACAGAAAGCTTTATTTTTACTTTTCTGTCCAGACCATTTTCTTTAAATGCACACAAGAGACTGATCAGTGTAAGATGAATGCTGCTTTAACTTTCCTAAAGAAAGTTAAATGGTCTTGAAAAGATTTCGTGTTTGAAATATTTCACAATAGAGCTATAAAGAGAAAGTACCTTCTTGTCTCTGAATCTGTTAAGACCCTTTTATTTATTTATTTATTCTTTAGTTGTCTCTTCTGGGCTACATATCTCATGTTATACCTTTGTACTTCCCCCAATGTCTGGAGTCATCCAACTAATTCACATCATTTATATACGGGCACAATTAAATCATCATCTTCTGTACTGTTTGGGACTTGCTCTTCTGGAATGAAAATTATGGGTTTGGCAGATATGTTAACCAGGGAAAGACTAGGTAGTTTTTCTACTGTGGATTCAAGTAGAGCAATTTCTATGCATACATAGTTCGATGGCTGTAGTTGTCACATAGCTACTCAAAAATGATGCCTTTTTTTGCCTCTTGTGTCTAATTTCAGATATCTCGAGAATATTTCTGTGCACAGAATATTAGAAAGTGATTAACAGCTCAATGTGCTTTCATCACAAGGCTATTATTTTCAATGCTTTGCTTTCACAAAGCACAGGCAGCTGTGTCCTATTCTTCTGTGATGCAGCAGTGCACTGTCTGGTCATTATACCATCCTAATGTGTTAAATTATACCAATATCATAAAGCAATAGCAATTTAAAAAAAAAAATTAAATTGCTCAATTAAAAAAAAAATAAAACCCTTGACAACTCCCCATATTTTTCAAAGGAAGCAACAGATGTTAAACTGAAACTGGGAGCTTTTTATATTTTTGGTCAAACATTCATTCCACAAAACCTATTTCAAATTTCAGCTTTTTGAGCAAAAGGAGAGGGAAGGGAAGTGATGCAGACTGCTTCATATCTTAGATCCTGCTTTTCTTTTAATTCCTAAGCAGTTTCTAAAACTGCAATTGTAGAAGACTTTACTGCACAGGAGTCCAGAGTGACATTTTGTTCACATAGATGGTTATGCACTCCCTGTTCATTCTTGCTGTCTAAATTCTGAGAAAGTGATAGGTTTCACTTTGGTATCTGTTAACTGGCTACTCCAGTAGGGAAACTCGAGTTTGAATGGGAAAGGAAGTCTTGCAGTCAAGTTTCAAGTTATCTTTCATGTTCCCATCAGTTCTGACCGCACTGTCCTGCCTTTTCTGACAAAAGCAGAAATGAATTTCCTGTTGTAATGAATTTCCAAGGTATTTGGCTGGCTGAAGTTATTGCACCTATGTGAATGGAGACTCGGCTTCTGTCACAAGGAACTATCTCAAGAGTCAGGTAGAACCAGTATGACTGGGGGCTTCCCAGCCTAGTCCTTAGGTCAGCGGGAAACCAGTTCTTCCGGTCTTGTAACCAGACAAGAAAGCTGTCAGGGAAATACGGGTTTGGAACAACAGCCAGTTGCTGTCAGCTTATCAAGTAGTAAGGGGGGAAAAAAATTAGTATTACAAGCACAGGGTTGAATGCGTGTGAGAGAGAGAATTCACATTACTGTTCCCAATGCTGACAAGTAACCAGTGATTTTTAATTTTTTCCACTGAGGGTGGGTTATTCCTTAAAAATATCTGAATGCAGCTTTTTGACTACATTACTAAACATATGGTGTAAAATTTATACAAACCTATGTCAGGTGAGAAATGTATTACTAGACATCTAATACAAGCAGGAAAATTCTTCTTCTGAAGAAATTTCAGTTAGGCTTTTTCATAATAAAATTTGTCCAAACATTGGCCATCTAAAAAGGTACTAGAAATGACATAATGTGATAATTAGGAACATTTTTATTAGGCAAGGCAACTGATTGCATGGTTTACATTTCTAGCAGCTTTGCTATGTCACTTTGATTTGGAGGAAATTGGAGTGAAAGAAAAGCCAGTAGCTAACTGCTCCCCAAAGTACTGAAAAACTGTAGTGTAAAGCAAGCAGAAATGATTCAGGGGATTTCTCTGCAGGTGAGTCAGCTCTGCAGGGTGCTGTATGAGAAACTTGCAATAGAAATAAAGATGGTTTTGTAATCACAGTGTTAGTTGAATATTGACATGTAAGTGAAGAATATGTGCTGCAATATTTACTTTAAAATAATTCTTAAGGTCTTTCACAATAAGGAATAAAACTGTACCATGATTCTGAAACAGAAATAGTAATAAAAACATGAAGATTTAAATGTAAGCATTGATAAAGGCTAAAAAAGCAAAGAGAAAATGATTTGTGAAAATTGGTTTCCTGAATCAATGTTTTGTATCATATATCCTAATTCAGTAGAATGAAACACTTCTTGAATTATTTTTTTTTGTAGAGGACTTTAAAGGACTGCTTGGAACATCATGAACATGCAGTAGCTTGCTTTTCCTGTTGAGAAACAGTATTATTGAAGAAAGTAAAACAAATAAGATTAGAGACAGTAAGTAGAAGCTAAGTATAACCTAGACCACTTTTAGACTTGAGGGTGACATAAGTCAAGGCATCCAAGGCATTGTCTGCAATGTGGTATCAGTTCATGCTGTGTTGGATGATGCACACTGGTAATTCTGTTCCTTCATTCACTAACGTGTTTTCTAATGCAGCCCCTCAGAAAGGACTTGAGACACTGACACTGCTTCAGTACTTGAAGAAATTGATTTAAATGTACTCAAACTCAGGCTGCACATTGCTGAAAGGAAAAAGAACAACCATCAGCCCCTGAAGCTTCTAAAGGGAACTGGCAACCAGAGTGGTATTTTGAAGTTTCAACCCAGATTTAGATCACCTCCTGAGCTTCTGCAGCTGTCAGGCTGCCTGTTCTTGTTCATTATACTACATTGGTACCTAACTGAGGGCAGTTGGTGTCTGGAGCATGCAGCATAAGGTGACACAAGGTAGCATCAGGATGAACTTGTATTTTCTTCCATGGAGTTGTTAATTTCTTTCCTACTTGCCACGGTTGCATCACACACAATTACAAGTGCTGTGTGATGCTCAGACCCTTTGCCATCTGGGATGCGGAATATTATTTCGTCTTCTGGTAGTGATCAGAGGAGAAAGTGTGAAATGGATGGAGATTTTTAGAGGATTATAAGCGAAACGGGAGGGTCAAAATGGTTGGCTTGCATGCAATACAAAAAAGTGAGAAGGCTGAAAGAGCTGCTCATCCTGACAGTGCCAAAGAAGGGGATTAGGCTGTAGATACCCTCATTGCCAGGGTAGTTGCTGAACCTCAGCACTGTGTAATGTATAAAGGTACCTGTGAGCAGAGTGGTGAGCCTTCCCCAGCAGGGCTGTAAAATCGGCAAGGAAAACTGATGCATGGCTTCATGCAGTGGCCTCTGAGGCACAAATAAGAAAAGGGGCCACACAGGTTTCTGGGATACGTGTCTGTTTTCAGGATGTGATGTGCCAGCACAAACCATTCAGAAAGGAGGCAGGCTTGTTGGAAGCTCTTAAAAAATCCAAAAAGCCAAACAACAACAGCAAAAGAACCCCCCCACCCCCCCCAAAAAAAAAAAAAAACCACCAAAAAAACTTCTCTGTCATGTGTGCAGCTGCATTGCCTAGATGCATAAAACTGGCATCTGGTGGAGATGAGTCCTAGTGATGCCCAACAAATGACACAGTTTGAATACTGTGATATGAACAGTATTTCAGTATGTCCTTTGTCTTTTCAGTCTCCAGGAAAATGAGGCAGGAACTAGATAGCACCCCATGCAGAGGAATTGGTTACCTGCCCAGATGCATGCAGAGAGGTCAGTTAAGTGGCCATGAGTAGATAAAAAAGCTTTGTTGCCTGAAGCAACTGCAAGTGAATATGGAAGAGGCCATTGCTCTCAGGGTACTTATCAGAGTGGCTTATTTCTCCATGCTTTGAAATAGTGCTGCTCTGCAGACCAGGTAATCATGACTATGGGAGACTGTTTCCTGTCTTTGCTTCTGTGAGCAGATAAAGATATCAAAGGTGAGCACCATCTGCATAACAGATTTTTCCCTTTTTTATCCATTTTCTCGGGGGGGGGGGGGGGGAGTTTTAAATTCTTTAGAATCATGGAGTTGTACAGCAATATAATCTTTTGTTCCCTTCTTTGTCAGGATTGTTTTATTTAGTATTCACGGCACAAGACTCTTTCATCAAGCGTATTGGCATATTGATCAGTGTCTAAAGTTAGGGGGCCTACTTTTACCTGTATGATGAATACAGCCAGAGGATGGTTTGGCAAAACAGATTCATACTGGAATCTACATGAGGGCTTTGTTTAAATATGAATACATTGAATAACAGAAGCTTTAAAGTTATATTTGATTTTTATATTTCATTCTACTGCTATGTGTGCTATTCTTGAATCTCAACTCATGAAATACCTGGGCATCCTGGTACAACTGTACGTAGCAACTGTTACTTCATATAACAATAAGGGGTTTTACCAATGACAAATACAAATTGGTCAAAATAAAAATCACTCAAGCATAATCCTAGCCACCAAGATATTTTAAAGTCCATGTTGCTTCAGAAAATACTTCCCTAAGCCTGTAACTAAAGGTACAGATTAGATTCTTTTTCTAATTTAAGTGGACATACAGTTTTACTCTGCACATACAGTACTGAAAAGTAGCAAAACCACTTTGTGGCAGTCTGTCATTTTGTTGACTTTGATATTAATAATTTCTCGGAATGATCCATCCATCTTGTATTTCGTGTGTCTTACATCTAAATGCTAGCTGTAATTTATGATAAATGAAGACTATTTCACTGTCTTGCTATAGCACTTCTTCATACTTCTAATCGCAGTGTTGATTCAGGAACTTACTGAAAATGCTTTAGCCTGAAAAGCTATCCTAGAATGACATACATACCTACCTGCCAGCATAACAAGCCTCTATTCAAGCTCTGTTCTAATCTCTAGCCAGGTAAAAGATGCTGAAGCACAGCATTAAGTTTTCAACATAAGTTTCTAAAAAAATTTATAACTTCAAACTCTGTCTTGGATTTAAGTAATTTAGTCTGCTGAGTTAAATTATTGGAATTGGAGTCTATGGCTTTCACTATTAGAAGAAAAAAGCCACACAACAATGAAATATCAGGTGCATAGCAAATGAGATTAGTTTATCAGCCAACACTGTGTTACTTCTCTGCTAATGTAGATCACATGCATCTCCCAAGTACTGCTTCAAAGAGTTATCATATCTGGGAGTAAAAGTAATTGTTATAACACAATAGAAGGCTCTGCTCAACAAACAAATGACTTAGCTCATGGGAGCCTGGTAATGAGAAAGCTTTACTTCCCTTCCATTCACTTATCAATGAGATATAGTTCACCATAATGTTCAAATTCTTTTTGGGGAGAATGACAGTGAAACTGTGTTATTGCCAATATAAATGCTAAATTTGCCTTTTCAATTACAGACTCATTCTTTCCAGGTGGGAGCAATAGCACAAAAATGATGATTAATGGGCTCACAACAATGCTGTACATATTCAGTCAAAACCAAGAGCTGTTAAAATGGTTTTGAGAAGCATGTAGATTACCAAAAAAATTTAGATATGCTGCTTAACCCTGTGTACAATTTCTTAGTGTATTTGAGTCAATTAGAAGGCCAGGTCCTGTTTTCAAAAGTGGCAAGGCGTTTATAAGTTAAAACCTCTTTAAAAGACAGTGGCAGTTTCTAACACTGCTATTGTTAGAAGCTAAGGTTGGGTTTATTTTTTTAATTAAAAACTATTTTTTTCTTGGTTTGATTGTCTTCACATAAATATCATAATTTCACCTCACTCATGATGAGTGAATGTCCCAACTAATCGACTATAAGTCACAGAAGAGAAGATTACCAAGTACTCCAGTTGAGTGTGCCTAATGAATAAAACGAGATAACTTCTTTGAGATCTAGCGGTGTATCAGAAGGGAAAATTTCATCACTGATCTTCTTTCCCTCTTTGTGTGTTCCTGAGAACAAGAAATTCAGAGGACCCCATCTTTCATATCCATAAACCTAAGTATAGCTAGAAAAGCAGTGGCACCCCTCTATCTGACCCTCTGCAGAGTGCCTCAGGAGCCAGTCCTTGCAGGGGAGAAGCAGGTGCCTGCGATGTTCACTGAGGAGTTGTGTGAATCCCGTGAATAGGTAGGCCTTTACCTATCAGCTTTTCATTATATAAACTACAGATATGAGGAATATTATTTTGGGTTCATGTCCTTTTTGTACTACAGCTTTGCTGTTAAATACTACAGCATTTGGATCTGTTATGGTATTACTAGCCATAAGTACAGGTACAATGAAGAAGCAAGCCTGTTACTCCCTCCTTGCTTCTTATGCAAAAAGCCAAATAAGTTATCTGTATTTTCATTATGACTTGTTTCATGTTAGCAGACCAGGCATTTAGAATTTAAACCTTTTCCTGAGAACATTTGAGGCAGCCTTCTCCGAGGAAGTTCTCGTGGTGGTTTTTACTGCTCAAGGCAGTATTGCCTGTAAGCAGAACTGCTCCCAGGTGCCTCAACAGCATGCTCAAGGGCTCTGTTGATGTTCTCATTTCTGTGGGAACAAGCTGCTTCCTTTAGCCACATCCTAAGCACAAAATTTAACTGCAGAACCACCTGGGTGGTGTGAGAACAGTTCGTTGGAAAATGTTCCTCAGACCTTCTGGTTAAAATTTAAATTGGAGCTAAAGTAAATGAAATTTCTTTTTAAAAGGGCGATATAGGGTATGTGCCCTACATTACTGGAAGAGTTATTATAAATAATTATTGGATGGTTTTTGCTTTATACTTGATCATTTCTGAACTTTCTGTAATATTACAATAGCTCAAAACTAGGTATGATGAATTAGAAACTTTAGATGAAGTCTTGTGCTTATAAAGCAGAAAATACTGAGATTAAACACTACTGTCCTGCTTTAAAAATTAATGCCTGCAATATTACACAACCACACTTTAGAAAAGTGCACATCTGACAGGTGTCAGCTTCCCTGAGGAGTCATCACAGGGCTATGAAAATAATGAACTAAACAGCAATGATTAAACAGTCATTTTGATAAAACTATAACCATTCCAGAGAAATAATGTCATGTAAAGAATAAACAAAGTTATATAAAACTGAATATAAGATGGTATTAACAGTGAGGTACACCAGTTAAAAATACAATTTTTATGTAAGAAAGTAAGAGCAATAAAATTCAGTAGCATGAACAGGCAGAAGTTTAATAAAGACTGAGCTTCTGTTTCAGAAGAAATTTAACGTTTCCACAACAGTGGGGTTAGATTTCTCTGTGATACCCATTTCTTTCCTTACTTTTAGAAATATTTTGGGACAAGTATTTAAAATGAATACACTATTTTTATTTTTTTAACTAGAATTTTCTAGCAGACTTTCTGCTGAAAGAAGTCTTAAGTGGCTCCTGCCATAGGCACAGACATGATCAAGTATATTTAAATTTAAATTGGAAAAATATTTTGGTGAAGTGTGGCAGATACCACAATTTACTTTCCTTACTCATTTATACTTAGTTATCTGTTCAATATTTTTCAAATATCACCTGTTTGATGTGATTTGTACTCAGAATGATATAATGAAAATATATGGTAATTTTCCCTCAATTCAATTTCCCCAAGAAATCCCAGTGAAATGTTCAGATTACTTTTGGGTGTAAATTAGAAAGAAAAATAAAGGCCAAATACCTATAGGAATCTTTTCTAAATTATGAGCTTATGGTAACATCACAAAATTCTTTTGCAGCCTTCTAGCACTCTGATGCCTATTTCTCTTTTGTTTTTTATCCTAGATGCAATATTAGGAGAAGATTTTATGAAATTAGTTGCATTCATTCTCAGAAAAAGATCTGTTGGTTTTAGCTAGTTAAATGCAACAAGTATGAGTGTACTTTTTGCTATAGTTGCTATACTAACTATAGAGTACTTTTAATATGCTTGTTACTATAGTGTAGTTATAACTACTAAACTATTCATCTTTTTAAAGGAAAGTATCGAGAAGCTTGTATTTTCATGTTATGCTGTCAAGCATAATAATAGCAACACTGAATTGCTTCTATCCTGAAAGGAAGGGCAAAATAGAATAATTTTGGCATGTTGGGTTTTTTTTTTCTTTTTTTTTTACCCCCACGCATTCTGACAAGGTGCAATGATGTTGTCTTAGCAATTTAAAGATTTTGCCCCGCTAATGTTTGTCACGTATTTCCATAGGAATCTGTATGAAGTTGATAGTCTTCATAAAGTAGATTTCTAGGGTGATTGCAAAAAACTGTCTAAAAAGACAGTAGATGTCTCTGCTCCAAATCATTTATTTAGTCACCTTAAAGTCCTCAGGAAAATCTGGCAGAACAGATAAGGCTTGAGTCTCCCATCTATGCAAGATGGATTCTACTGCATCAGAATGAGAAGTGCTCTGCAGAGAAGACTCTTCTAGCAGCCATTTTTCCTTGAGTTCTGACAACTGTTCCGGGGGATCGGTGAAATACTAGTGTATGCATAGACCGCAAAATATTAGCGAGATCTCATGTCTGTTATGGGTGTCAGTTTAACTCATGATCTTTTTCCACTGCCTTTGAGCTCTCAGCCAAATTTCTTTGAACTTAAAGGGTAAAAAATAATTTTCCTGAAGAGTCCAGCATGCTCAGATGTGGAAATGGGAGAGCTCACCTGCTCTAGAAATCTAGAGGCATCAGAATTTAGTGATGTTATTGGAGCTCTTGGGGCAGTCCCTTGTGTCCTTTTTCTGTAAAATTGCAGGCCTGTTGTGAGCATCCTCAGTATACTTGTACTTTACAGGTCCATCATCTTACCTGAGATGTGGCCATTACCAAAATATCATTACATCAGGACAGATCCATTTCTGAGTCCTTAAGCAGGACTTGGGAGTCTTGGTTTTCCTCACATTTTGAGCTATGTAATTCCACGCACTAGGGGGTGTGTGTGTGTATTAGATTACTTTTGCATGTAAAGG